CCCCCCCCCATAGGTGTTGGAATCTGAAACACTATACCACAATGACCTATACTTGTAGATGTAATTCTAATGCAAATAGGTTTTCTTTGTTATGTTAATAAGGTCATACCAAAGAAGTCTGCATCTTCAACCTAATTGCTTCTGAGTTATAAAAAGAGCAGTTTAGATACAGAGGTATGCACAAACTGGTGAGGAATGTCTACAAGCCAAGGAACAAAGGAATGCCCAGGGCTACCAACGAGAATGGAGGTGACATGGCTGAGACCCTGATTTGGACTTGTAGCCTCCAGAGCTGTGAGAAAATAAATTGTTCTTTAAAGTCACACACTTGTGGTATTTGCATTACAGCAGTACTAGGAAGCTAAGAACACAGATAGATAGATAATCAAGGATATACTTTTTAATTAATGTTGTTATTTGTTAATAATCTACTATGAGCTAGTATATATTAGTTTAAGTTTCATAATGCTCCAGGTATTGACATTTTCCTTACATATTACAGAAACTTAAGTCTCAGAAAAATTGGGCCATATGGCAATGCCGCTCAGCCAGTAAGAGGTAAACCTATCTCCCACATCCACTTATTGCTCAAAACTATCATGGCCAAGTGTGTGACTGGGCATAATTACACTACACACCAAGAAAAACTGACAATCCTCACTGGCATGACAGCTACAACACAGCCAGTGTTTTTCAAAGAGAACTTGCCAAGGAATGGAGGAAAATGACCATCTGCTCATGTTGGGCTCAAAAACTAAATTTAAATAATGTATTTAATTTAAAATTTTAAACCTTGTATTAATGATGTTTAGGAATTATTAATGACTATCAAATTCAATCTAATTGGCAAGAAAAGAGATTAGAACATTGAAATGACTAATACTAAACCAAAATATTAAGAAAGTTAATTTTTACTGAATTTAATATAAATGATCATTTTCTTCCATTTGGATGATCTTTCTTTTCTTTGAGATAATACAAAAATTCTTACAGCCATTCGTTTCAAGTACTATTTAGTATTTCAGAAAATGAGTTCCCAGTTTTAAAGATTTTCTTCACTATTGCTGGCCCATGCAACTGCATGGTTTGCCTATGAACCATTTTCTTTAAAACATAGCTTGCAGGACCTCTGATGCTAGAGCCACTTGCCTCAGCCTAGGGCTGCAGCTGCCACAGAAGCTGGAGCCAAGGCCACAGGTAAGAGTACCCTTGTACCAAGGCCAAGTATCTGCCTTGGTTCACTAACGGGGGCTCAGGGCTATACTTTCAGGGCTTTGAGCAGAGTAACATTGGCACCATCTGCAGCCACAGTGATGTTAGCACCATTTGCAGCCATATGCAGTCTCTCCAGTCTCGGTCTTCAGGAGATGGACACAGAAATTTAGTCTGTTTAAACTGAGCTAGAACTGTGGTCATTTTTGTAACAGAAACAATAAATCAGAGGATGGATCCTATCTGCCAATTAAAGTGGATCTTAGCAGGGGCACACCCCCTAAAAAAAACAGTTGCCATCAAGTTAATTCCAACTCATAGCTCATAGGAACCCCATGTGTGTCAGAGTAGAACCGTGTTCCATAGGATTTTCATGGCTCTGATCTTTCAGAAGCAGACCATCAGGGCGTTCTTCCCAGGCATCGCTGGGTGGGTTTGAACTGCTATCAGCCAATCAGTTAGTAGCTGAGTGCTTAACCATTTGTGCCACCCAGGGACGTCTACACCCAAACGAGGAGCTCAATATCCACGGCCAAAAAACAGAAAGGATAAAAGTCCAAAACATGTATCTGTGAGTTTCTCTAATTACTCCCATGCTTTCACTAAATTCATTATACAATAATAGTAGTCTTTTCAGGAGAAAGAAACATGATTGGAAGGAGAAAACATAACTCTTATTCTCTGTGATCCAGCTGAAAGAAAAAAGAAAAACAAAGAAAAGTACTGATGTGTCATTGACACTGATTTATTGCAAATTTTTTTTAATGCCTCATTTCTTTAATTTTTTTTTTTTTCCTGTCCTAGAGTGACTTTCCAAATATAGGTTGAAGTATGGAAAAGACTGGTACTGCTCACAGGCAGCTTCACAATTCCTTCATTGCTGAAGTTACAAAATGGTTGACTTGATTCAACACTGTGTTATGAGGAAATTATATGACATTTTGTGACTGACCAGGGACTCCCCTAGTATGTAGGCCTATCTGATTCATAAGAATTGAAGAAGTTCTTGAAATACAAGGTATATGAGAGTGGCGTCTAAATCCCTTGATAATAGATAGTACTTCAATTCTCAAAATATGTTCCATTTCTTTGTTGAATACCAGGGGTGGAGGGGAGGGGAGGAAACACTGCAAAAATAAAAATAATAATAACTAATTAATTTAAAAAAAAATGTGTTTCCATTTCAAGTCCTTACTCCATTTTCTTCATAATGCTCAGCAATAGAGCAAGCGCATAGTTACAATTTCAATGACTCAAGTCTCTTAAAAGACTAGACCAATATAACATAAATCACAGGGAAAAGTTGAACTTCTTTTGCTAAGGGAAGCAGCAATATCAATAGTAAGAATTATTAGACTATTTTGCTATTAGATAATATTTCTTATGTGACATAATGTATATTTCTTATGAGAAGATAGAAAAATTTAAATAGACTCTACTTAGTATTTCTTTATAATTCTGAATCAAATCAGCATGCTGACAGAATTTTTTCAGTTGAAAAATAGAATTTACTTTTAGGTAAGATAAAACTCCTTAGAACAAGCCTTTTTAAAAAAAAAAAAAAAAAAGTGTTTATCGGGTAACCATCCTAAATAATTAAGTTTCCCTTACTTGTAGCCAAGCTGTCGACAGATCACAGCTGCATCCTTATCAGTCCATCCATCATCACAAATTGTTCCCCATTGGCCATTGATAAAAACCTCCACTCTTCCTTCTTTCTTGTTTTCTCCATCCATCAGTCTGATAGGAAAACCTAAGCCATGATTCAAAAGTGTTAGAAAAGCCAAAACAAGCAAACTGACACTAAGCATAAGAGACTTTACAAAACACAATGTAATTTTTTATTTTTATTTTAAACAGCTATAAAATCAGCTAGGCAGTGCCTGTATGGGAGCTGAATTGAGCTGGAGAAATCTGAGCTGTGCTAAGCTACAGGATGTCAGACTAACCCATTAAAACAATGAGCCAAAATGAAAATAACAGCCAAGCCTTTAATCACTTGTTTGAACAGTATAAGCGAACGAAATCTGAAGGAGACACCGGCTCCCCTTGTTCCATATTTCCCTACGAACAGTGCTCCAACAAGGGTCAGATGGATCAGCACAAACCTGGGGACCCATCTCACTGCTGAGGAAGCCCTGAACAAGAAGCTCTCAATTTTATGAACCCCAAGGCCAGTAGGGAGATGAAGTGAAGGATTAGGAGTGGAAAGGCACTGACTACTGTGTCCCAAACCAAAAACCAAATTCACTGCCATCAAGTCAGTTTTGCCTCATAGCAGCCCCTCCTTGGGTTTCCAAGGCAGTATCACTATGGAAGTAGATTGCCCAAACTTCTTCTGAAGAACAGCTGATGTGTTTGAACCACCAGTCTTCTGGTTAGCACTCAAGTGCCTTAGGCACTACACCACCAGAGCTCCTAATACTGCGTCAGTGTGGGGAAAAGTGTCTTCAAGTTTCCCTTTCATTTCCCCATGATAAAGAGGCCTTAACAGCAGTGCTTGAGCAGTGCATCTATAAGGAGGTACTGTGTCTAGCAATGCAGATACACAAAAGAACATGGCTGGTGAGGAATGGTGTGTATGTGGAGGGGGAGGCGGTGCTGACTCCTTGACTACAATTCCTCTGTAATGTACTGGCTGTGTACCAAGTCTAGTTGGGGAGGGCAGCTTTCCCCCTAAGGCCTTCCAGGTAAGCCTTTTGTAATTGCCTGGTTGGCCTGAAAAATCACACAAATTTAGCCAGGAGCCAGATCTTCAGTAAGTTTTTGAAGGAAAAGTGATATCAATAATTGTATCTGGTTTTTTTTTTCCAACATGTTTTGAAGCTTTGAGGTCAAAGTGCCTCATCTTGCTCAGCTTTGTATCTTGAACAATTGGAATAGTATCTGGCAAAAAGAGGTCATGCAGTAGTTGTTGAATGACTGAACTAAACAATGAATAACACTGTAAAATTGTGAATTATTTTATTACAAGTAACCTCTACATAGACAAAAGAACATTAACTTAGAGTTGTTTTTGTCATGTCTATTGGTTTAGCTATGAACATAGTGAGAAATTTATACTCCAAAGCTAAGTTTTTTAAGAAGGAATAAATAGACACATCCTTCTAACTTAACTTAAATAGGTCTAATGCCTATGACAATGAATAAGGAGGACCAAAGAAAATGTGATGCCTTTGAATTATGGTGTTGGCAAAGAATAAACATACTATGGACTTCCAGAAGAATGAATAATTGTGTCTTAGAAGTACCTCCAGAATGCTTAGAAGTGAGAATGGCAAGACTTCATCTAAAAGTACTTTGGACATGTTATAAGAAGGAAGCAGTGCCTGGAGAAGGACATCATGCTTGGAAAAGCAGAAGGTCAATGAAAAACAGGAAGACCTTCAATGAGATGGGTTGATACAGTGGCTACAAAAATGGGCTCAAGCATAGCAAATATTATGAGTCTGGCACAGGACTGGGCAGTGTTTTGTTCTGTTGTACAAAGGGTCACTGTGAGTCAGAACCAATTTGATGGTATATGACAACAACAATGCCTATGAAGGAGGAATAGGTAAGGAAGACAGCTAACATGGACAATTTTTATCTAAGACTTTCTATTTTCTATTGATTCCAAGGGAAGTGCTTAAGTCACTAAGATTTAGAAGTTGAAAACTGATTTCCAGCAAATTGAGGTTTACTAAAGTATTCAAATACGATGATTTGTAGAGTTTCATGTAGTTGTAATAACAGTAATAAATGTCTCTTTTTTAACTCTTTATTGTGATTTGGATAAAATAGTACAGAACAGATTTGTTTTCCATTCAATAGTTCATACACATTTAGTTTCATGACCTGATTACACTCCATTTGTAGTGATGTTTAATTGAATGCCCTCACTGTGGCTTACGTCTTTTGATTCTCTACTTCCTAGAATGGTCTCCAGCTTCAGGGCCCCCAAGATTTACTGGTAAGGATTTAGAGAATACTAGGAAATATGGTGAAAGTATCTGGAGAACCAAGTATCCTGAGCTACTAGGAAAGTGAAAGTCTACAGTTAAAGAACAAGATAACATTTGATGTATGTTTAAGTCAAAATAAGCAATTACTACATTGGCTCTTGGGAACAGGAACAGGTAAGGGAAAAGCACCAGGCAGGAAGCAGAAGCCAGACAGGTAGGGGGAACGCCAGGAAGTGAGTGAAGCAGTTTGAACCAACTAAGAGAGACAACCTGGTCTATCAGTTTGTTGTACTGTGGTGGCTTGAGTGTTGCTTTGAGGCTGCAGGCTGTCCCACCAGTGTTTGAAACACCAGGAGGGTTGCTCATGGTGAATAGGTTTTGGCAGAGCTTCCAGACCAAGAGACTCAGAAGAAGGAAGAGGCCATCAACTTCTCAAAGAATTGGCCAGGGAAAACTTTATGAATAGTAGTGAAACACTGGCTGATATATTGCTGGACTTTATGAATAGCCCTGAAACATTATCCAATACAATGCTGGAAGATGAGCCCCTCAGGTCAGAAGGCACTCAAAATAAGACTGGGAAAGAGCTGCCTCATCAGAGTGGAGCTGACCTTAATGATGTGGACGGAATACAGCTTTCAGGACCTCCATTTGCTAATGTGGCACAACTCAAAATGAGAAGAAACAGCTGTAAAGATCCATTAATAATTGTAACATGAACATACAAACTATGAATCTAGGAAAATTGGAAGTTGTCAAAAAAGAAATGGAATGTGTAAAGATTGATATCCTAGGCATTAGTGAGTTGAAATGGACTTGTTTTGGCCATTTTGAATCAGATAACCATATGATCTACTATGCTGGGAATGACAAATTGAAGAGGAATGGCTTGGCATTCATCATCACAAAGAATGCTTCAAGATCTATCCTGAAGTACAATGCTGTCAGTGATAGGATAATATCCATATGCCTACAAGGAAGGCCAGTTAATACTACTATTATTCAATTTTATGCACCAACCAAAGATGAGGAAATTGAAGATTTTTACCAACTTCTGCAGTCTGAAATTGATCAAACATGCAATCAAGATGTGCTGATTTTCACTGGTGATTGGAATAAAAATGCTGGAAACAATGAAGAATCACTGGTAGCTGGAAAATATGGCCTTGGTGATACAAATAACGCTGGAGATCACATGATAGAATTTTGCAAGACCAATGATTTATTCATTACAAACATCTTTTTTTCAACAACACAAACGGCAGCTATACATGGGGTCTTCACCAGATGGAGTACACAAGAATCAGATTGACTACATCTGTGGCAAGAGGTGATGGAAAAGCTCAATATCTTGAGCCAAAACAAGGCCAGGGGCTGACTGTGGAACAGACCATCAACTGCCCAAATGCAAGTTGAACTTGAAGACAATTAAAACAAGTCCACAAGAGCCAAAATATGACATCGAATATATCCCTCCTGATTTCAGAGACCATGTAAAGAATAGATTTGATTAATTAAACACCAATGACCAAAAACCACAGGAATTGTGGGATGACATCAAGAACATCATCCATAGAAAAAGCAAAAGGTCATTAAAAAGACAGAAAAGGAAGAAAAGACTAAAATGGATGCCAGAAGACACTCTGAAACTTGCCCTTGAGCAGAGAGTAGCTAAAGCAAGTAGAAGAAACAACAAGATAAAAGAGCTGAACAGAGGATTTCAAAGAGCAGCTTGAGAAGACATCAATTATTATAATGAAATGTGCAAAGACAGAGTTGGGAAGCCAAAAGAGAAAAATGCAGTCACCATTTCTCAAGCTGACAGAACTGAAGAAAAAATTTAAGCCTTGAGTTGCAATACTGAAAGATGCTAGGGCAATAAAGGAGCTCTGGTAGCATAGTGTCAAAGGCACTTGACTATAAACCAGAAGGCTGGTGGTTCAAACCCACCAGCCACTCCTCAGAAGGAAGATAGGGCAACATACTTCTGTAGTGATACTGCCTCGGAAACCCAAGGAGCGGTCACTATGAGTTGGGTCTGACTCAATGGCACATAACAACAACAACAACATGGGCAATATATTAAATGATGCAGAAAACAACAAAAGAAGATGGAAGGTATATACAGAGTCACTGCACCAAAAAGACCTGGTTGATCTTCACCCATTTCAGGATGTGGCATATGATCAAGAACAACTGGTAATGAAGGAATAAGTCAAGGCTGCACTGAAGGAAGTGGTGAAAAACAAGGGTCTAGGAATTGACAGAATACCCATTGAGGTGTTTCAACAAATGGATGCCGTGCTGGAGGCACTCAATCAACTATGCCAAGGGATTTAGAAGACAGATACCTAGCCAACTGACTAGAAGAGATCCATATCTGTACCCATGCCAAAGAAAGATGATCCCACAGAAGGTAGAAAGTATCAGACAATATAATTAATATCACGCATAAGTAAAATCTTACTGAAGATAATTCAAAAATGGTTGCAGCAGTATTTTGACAGAGAGCTTCCAGAAATGCAAGCTGGATTCAGAAGAGGATGTGGAATTAGAGATGACATTGCTGATGTCAGATGGATCTTAACTGAAATCAAAGAACACCAGATAGATGTTTACTTGTGTTTTATTAATTATGCAAAGGCATTTGATTGTGTGGATAATAACAAATTATGGATAACATTGATAAGAATGGGAATTCCAGAACACTTAATTGTGCTCAGAGGAACCTGTACATAGAACAGGAGGTTGTCGTTTGACCAGAACAAGGAGACACTACATGGTTTAAAATCAAGAAAAGAGTGTGTCA